ACACACACACACACACACACACACACACACACACACACACACACACACACAACCACTTAGATATACCATGGTCAAACTGCTGAAAAAGACAGAGAGGTAAATAACTCATCACATAAAGGAGAACAACAATACAACTGTGCCTGGTAACAATTTATTGCCTCTCAGCTACAAATCACCCTTCAGTAACTGCTGTGTGATAATGCGTTGGACTCTAAAATTTTTTTTACATTGAACTCAACTGTTAAGTTTTGTCAGTAGAGAGAACTGGAGGACCATTAAAGGAGAAAGGGTGTTTCTCTTCCTGGTTCCGATGTACTGTCATTTACCTTTTCTTGCTCCCGTAACGCGGTCTGTGTGCAGTGCATATGTGTGGAAATATCCAATAGTGCTGTGCCATACCACATGTGTGTGGAACGCTCAGTCCCTCAGCAACCTCCAGCCCCAGTCTAAGCCTAGTGACCATGTTACCATGGCACTAGCAACTCAAACACTGCACATACCAGGCCTGTGCCATAAACAGCACCCTGACCCTTCCTGCATACCCACCTAATAGGCTTGACTTGCATATGCCACAGAAGGTTGTTTCCTCCAGCTCTTCCTGTGCAGGCACCATACCCTCCACCTTTGCACTAGCAGAAGAATGAAGATTCCTTCAGCATAAACACCTGCCAGTCTCAGCTTTCCCACATCCTGGAGGATTGTTAACAGAAGCCTTCTCAACATGGACACCTGCATACCCCAGCTCATGCGCTGCCCTGCCAGTGAGCAAACTCCCAATATCCCAACACCTCCTGTGCACCCACCAATCAGCCTCAGCTCATCTGTAGATCAGAGCGTGGTATTCTCTTTGCCCAATAACTACGGACCAGCTCTGGGCCAGGTAACTCAAAGGATTTCTCTACCATTCAGTGTTCTGCAACCACACCTTCTCCTTGAGGGTAAGAGGACTCTCTTTTCCAAGTTTGCCCTTCCTTGGGTACTTTTTCTTAGCACTCGGGTACCTCTTAGAGTATCTTTATATCTTTATAGTTACTCCCCTATCATAATTTAGTAATTCTTTGAAACTTTCCCTGTTCAAATTTCTGTGTGGTTATTCTCTCTTGATTGGAACTATTAACAGGAATCTCTCCTGATTAAGCTATTAACAGCTGCCTCCTCATCAAAAATAATGAAAACCAGAAAGCAATGGAATACTATATTCAAAGTATAGAAAGAAACCAGTAAAGGATTATATATCCAGACAAACTGTCATTCAAAAATGCTATTTTGGAGAAGTAGTCCATAAATTTTAGTTAAGTAGAATGGTTTGATAGTGTTGCTCAACTCTTCTTTTCAAATGCAAACGGAACATTCTCCAGGGTAGACCATATGCTAGGCAACAAAATAAGGCACAATATATGTAAAAGGATCGAAGTTACTTTAAGTATGTTCTCTGATCAACTAAAATCAAAATGGACATCAACAAAAAGAAATTTGAAAAATAATCAAATATTTGGAAATTAAACAGCAAATTTCTAAATAAGTTTAAGTGTCAAGGAGGAAATCACAATGGATATTAGAAACTACTTTAGCGTTAATGAAAAAGAAACACAACAAAATTTATGGAATGCAGCTAAAGCACTGCTCAGAAAGAAATGTATAACTTTAAACTTGAATTATTAGAAAAGAAGGTAAGTATAAAATAAATAATGTAAGCTTCCATCTTAAGAAACCAGGAGTGGAAAGGCAAATTAAACCTAAAGCAAGCAGAAAGAAGGAAATAACAAAGATCAGAGCAGAAATAAATGAAATAGAAAGTAGAAAGACAACTGAGAAATCAACGACACCAAAAGCTGAATCTTGGAAAAGATTAACAAAACTGATAAACCTTTGCTAGAATGACCAAGGGAAAAAAAAAAAAAAGAATACACAAATTACCAAAATCAACAATGAAAAAGAGGACATCACTATAGACCCTACAAAAATTAGGATTATAAGGGAATATTAACTTCATGACAACAAATTAGACAGCTTGGATGAAATGCATACATTCCTAGAAGATACAAATGACCAAAACTGACTCAAAATGAATAGAAAATCAGAATAAGCTTGTAACAAATAAAGAAATCAAATTCTTATTCATAAAAGAACAAAGCTAGAGAACTTACACTACCTAATTTCAAAACTTACAACAAAGTATCAAGGCAGGGTGGAACTGGTATAAGGATAAACATATAGATCAATGGAATAAGAAGGTCAAAAATAAACCCTTACATTTATGGTCAATTAGTTTTTGACAATGGTGTTATGGCAATTCAAAGAGGAAAGAACATTCTTTTCAACAAATTCTGTGGAACAACTGGATACCCACATGGAAAAGAAGGAACTAAGACTCTTACTTTACACAAAACATAAAAATTAATTCAAAGTGGATCTAAGTAGAAATCTTAAAACTATAAAATTTCTGAAAGAAAGCATAAGAGGAAATATCTATGACCTTTGAGTTAGGTCAAGAATTTTTAGATGATATCAAAAGTACTATCCATATAAGAAGAAAAAACAAAACAATGAAATACCATTACAGTCATGAGAATGAGTATAATAAAATAAAATGACAGTACTAAATGTCAGTGAGAATATGAAAACACTGGAACCCTCTATACTTTGTTGGTGAGAATCTACATTGTTATATTCACTTTGAAAAAAAATGTGTCAGTTTAGAGTTCAACTTTACCATACAACCCAGGAATTCCACTCCTTGTAATCTACCCAAGATGAACAAAAGCATATACTTGCCCAATGACTTGCACACAAATGTTCACAGCACCATTTTTCGTAACAGTCAAAAACTGGAAACAATCTAAATGCCCATAAAGAAGTTATCTCGTGCTATATAATTAATTACCATAGTTTTGTTTTTTCTGGAGTTGGGAAGCATTCCTAACTGAGTCTTTACTTTTAATATCTATTAAAAAACAACAAAGTTTTCTAGTGAAAATTTCATATAGAATAAAAGTAATAGTTCACTAACTCCCTGTGAAGACTACCCATCTTTGGATCATATTTCTAACTCAAAATTTGTTTTTTTAAGAGTTCGACCTGCCAATTAAATTATCAGAAAATTAGTCCATTACCTATCCCTAACTTCTGAATTATGTGGGATGGAATTGGGCACTGACGACTCTCACGGCTATAGTGCTTCTCAGATGAATACCGACGGATTATTAATCTTATTGTATGTGGCTTCCTTCCATCTTGGCAGACTCTAAAAATAAAGAGAAAGAGGAAACAAGGAATTAGAAAAAGTATTATCTAAAGTTTTTTTAATGGTCCAATATACCTCATGTACCTAAAGGTGCCAGATTTAGTAACCTTAACAATTATAAATACAGTTGATAATTAGGCAGTAGGCAATAAAGGTCCCTGAATATTCCAAGCAAACTTCACAAAGTCTACCTAATAAAGCTCTGAAACTTAAATAAGGCTCTCAGGCCTCATGCAGAATTGAGTGCTATCAGAAAAAGAAAAGAGATAAGATATAATAATAACAAGCCATTTTACAATCCAAATCCAAAACATAACTAAAAATAAATAAAAAACATAACATATTAAAATCAGCAGGAAATTTAAGAAACAGAGAATCATTTACTGACAGAAGCAAATATATAAAAAATGACAATTTTTTACACATGTAAAAAAAATAAGATTACAAAAAAAAAAGTTTTAATGAGATTATTTCTGTCAAAAGCACTCCTCAAATAGATCCAAGGGAGTCAGTAATATCACCATTATATGGCTTTAGAGAAATAATGTGAAAGGCTAATTATATACTATGTTTAGGAAGGTAAGTACTTGTCCATGCATCTTAAAAAGTGTTCCACCCAAATAATCTTGGTTTTAGTGTTGAAAACAAAACTTTTAATGACATGGAAAATCCGCTTATAAAGTAGAAAATCTAATTACTAGAGAAAATAAATGTCATCAAAGAATAACATTTTCCTTTCTATATGTGTCACAAACATAAAATACAAGTATTATTAAACATACTCAAATTGATTTTGAATTAGAAAATTTGGATTTTTGTAGTAAACAATTTTTTTCTTATTGCTTTATCACAAAACTTCTTGACTGCTGCTTTATTAAGATAATATCTTAAATGGTTCCTGTAAACATGTTACTAGTTTAAACATCTTCCAGTTCTATTAAGTTAATATGCAACTCAAAGAGTGCAGTTTGGTTCCTATAACTAATTAAGACATACTAGAAAAAGGTTATACTCTAAGCAATCTTAAGACCAGTGCCTAGGGAATGGATTAATGGACCAGTGCCTAGATGTATGATTTTATACCTCTTACATATCTATAGTATTAATTATCATATGCTTGAGAACATTCACACACACGCACAATTATTTTTTTTGCCATTTACTTAGATGGCATTATACAACTCAGTCACTGATACAAGGGGCCACTATGTAGAAAAGGGAATGCCAAGCAGAGATAAGGAGAAATGGTTAATAGTTATTTCACAGGTTTAGAGCATCTAGACTCATTTCTGGGTTGATGCTTCAAATAAGAGAACCTATAAAATGTATACTTCTTGTGGTTTCTCTACGTACACAACTTTTTCCAGTGACCAGGCATTTCACAGTAGTCTTATATTTAGCTGAAACAAAGCAGATAACCCAGTTTCACTAGCATAGTCACAGGCTCAGCCTGAGTCATATCACTGAAGCTGGGTCATATAGCCAGCCAGTTGCATGCAGCAAATGATGAGCTGCGCGGCCCTGCTCAAGACATGGGATTGCAATGCATGTTGCATGACTGCGAAGTTGAAGGAAATATCACTTTATCAGTTTTCTGAGAGTTACAGTCATCCAAAAACCATTTTCTCTAGTCACATTAGCCATCCTAGCATCATTACAGAAGCACACCTACCCAAAACTGTTAGATCCCTGACACCTCACTTTGAGAAATCAAAGAAATGGGAGGAAAAGAAATGGAGTACTGAGAAATAGATATATGATGGCAAAGAAGCATCAGAAAACTAAATGTCTTGTTCAGTTTATGCAATGCTATTTGTATACTCATAATCCCAACTGACACTCCTCATGTATTTATAGGCCAGTAACCCTGCACATACCCACAATCACTCTCACTGCTCACACATAATCCCATTAAGCTATTCCTTCATCTGACTCCATTTTCTTGCACATGGTCCGAGGCACAGGAGATAAAAGGGTTCTTCTGCTTTCTCCATCAATTTCCTATCCTCAATCATCACAAAGTTTATAGGTGCCGTGATTCTAGAGATACCCATAAAACTCCCTTAGGTTAATGATCAGCAGCTTAAGATCCACAGTAAACCACAATGTTACTAAAATTAAGACCAATGGAAGTAGATGAATTAAATTTAGTTAAAAACATCTGTTACTTTATAATGATCTATCTTTGTATGTTTAGTCTCCAGTTAATCGGTAAGTTCCAAGATAGAACATCAAGTATTCTTTCCATGTACTATACACAGAATCTATAAGATGATACAGCAAAATGGAAAAATCACCTGTTCAAAAGACTAGCAAGTAGCTCTTCAATCTTATTTTTAGCTTCAACTTCTGATGAACATTTTTTAAATGAATCTTCCTCACTAAAGGACTACCAAAGAAGCACAAATAAGGATTAATAAAAACCCAAATAAACATCCCCAATTATCAGTGTATATGTTAAATAAATATTCAACACATTCTTTACTAACTTACCTCATGTACTTAGTTTGAGCCATTTAGTTCACTTTTATATTAAATCTTTTTATCTGCAAGTTATTGTACTCCACTAGAAAGTGCACTGGAAGTCAAGAAAATTACAAAGCTCTAGTACCAATGCCACGCTTTATTGTACAATTACAGTGAGGCTCTTAATCTCCTAGGACTTGAATCTGAGTTTAACCTTGGGCAAGTTATTTAACCTTTCTAAAGTACAGTATCTTCATCTTAAAAAAATAATGGGAGGAAGAGGGAGTAAGGGAGGGGGAAAAGGTATGAACAATAGTACTAACTACCTGGAAGACTCACTGTGAAGATTAACTGGGATAATGTATATATTATTATCCCTCAGGAAAAAAATTCATCAATGTTATCTGGGTGATTATACCTTTCTCCATTTCCTAAACCATTAGACTACTCTGAAAACAAGATTTTTAAAAATTAAAATATTCTGCCTACTGTATACAATATAGGCTATTAAAATTAAGTAGTATTCAATCACAGTGGCTAACTTGAGACTTAAATACTAATTCTTAGATTCAATTTAAGACTATTTATTAATCTACTATAATAAATAGCCTTCTCATAGGAAAGGGATCATGTACTAACCTAAAAAGCAAATTAGAATAGTAAGAACACAGTAGTAAAACTAGAAATCTTTACCTCAAATAATGTGACAACCAGTATTCAGTTAAAATGAACATCATCGCCACGTACCTGAGGAGGTCCTGAGGGGGTCACAGGAGAGTTATCCTCTCCAAAACTGAGCTTCTGGATACGCTGAGCAACTGAAATTCCTAATTCCCTTTCTAATATTTTGGATGAAAAGGTTTGAAGATCACGCACACTACTGATACCCAGTGCTTCCAGACGTTTGGTAGTTTTATAGCCAATACCTAAGCAAAAAGAGATGCATACGGTGTTACAATAGTTTTTCTCTTTAAAATTAGCTAATTAAAATATTATAAAGATATCAACCACGTCTTTTGATACCATAATTTGTATTTTGCTAAGATCAAACTTTATTAAAAATTAGGTTGTTGTTCTGCTCAAGACCTCTGAGTTATGAACCACCTTGAAAACCTAACAACCATAGTATAATATAATGAATAAGGAGACAACCAATAAATGCTGTCTTGATATTGATAAAATGAAATTTTTACCACCTGTTACATAACAATGTGGAAGTATTGAAGAATCATAGTTATTATCCATGTAAAGAAAGACTGTCACTAGAGCAATTAAAATGCATTACCATTTGCTAATTATTAGCTAACTTGACTGATTTCTATACACAATACCACACATTTATATCTGGAGGTAGGAACCATCCCAAATACAACTTCGAGCCAGAAAGCAAACAAACGAATCTTCTCATTAGCGAAACTCCTATGACAAAGTTCTTGCACTAAAACTCAGTCATACTTTACCACAGGAAAAAATTTAATGCTGTGATAAAGGACCATACATTTCCAGGTTATAACTTTCATAATCATATTCAAACTATACAAAAGTAGGTAAAACTAGGAAAATACTTTCATATATATAGATTCCTAATATAGATTCCCTCCAGAAAACGTCAGGTTTTTTGGTTTTCACCAAGAGCCAAGTACACAGGCTCTAAAAATTAATTACACGTAGCTGTAATTTTTAAACTTAAAGAAATACAATAAAACCAATATATATTTTTCAAATATATTTGTCTTACCTGGCATTTTCTTTATGTGGTTCAAACTATGAATGAGATCTTGAGAACTTTCAGGTAGTAAGAGTGTTTGCTGATTTGGTTTAAAGATGCCAGACACTAATTTTGCCAATAATTTATTAGAAGCCACTCCAGCACAGCCTGTGAGACCCAACTGATTATACATGGCTTCCCGCATCTCAGCTGCAATCTGAGATCCAATAAGTAGTCTGATGTGCAAGATGTCATGCAGGTTTATAGCTATAAAAACAGCCAATGTTGTTAAAAGTCACCATCACAAATTTTAATTTTCTTTTTAACAAATGAGTTTTAAAAAGATAAAGGGCTTAATCTATATCCAACCCCCCTTCCCTACCACCATACTGCTACACCACCATACTGCTACACACTTAACTAATCTCTCTTGTCCTTCACAGGAATTCTGTAAAGTAACTACCACAAGTAAATTCCAAGGCCTGTGATAGCAAATGCATACTGGGAGTGCTGAATGATTAACAGATTACAAAAATTGATCACATAAAAAATTCCGACAGACATTGGTAGAACTTTTACTCATGTTTATCTGGAAGTAAGCATAAAAGTAAGTGTTACATTAATGATAAAGCTAACATTACAGCTTTAAAGATCTGAATCTAAACTTTACACACCAGTGGTATGTGCTATTAAAAACAATTTTGGATTTGTATACAGTTTAAGAGATCTTTTATTAAAAGTATAAGGAAATTATATAGAAACAAATGTTCTTAGGTGTGAAAATGACATTAGAGTTATACGAGACAGTCCTTATCCTCAGGAGTATTTACATTTCAAGTGTTATGATGTCTGTAATAGTGGCTCAACAATCTATCAACCAATCAATAAACAGCAAGATAAAGCAAATGTGGCAAAATGATAACAATGGGAGTATCTACAAGGAAGGGCATAATGACTGTTCTCATTATACCAGTCTGTCAACTTTTCTGTAGGTTTAAAAAAAAAAATTAACACAATCTCACGTGGAGGAGAAAGAAGAATTCATGAAGAATTAGATATTTTAGGATATAAGACCTAGCTCTCTGCAATATGTTCTAACAAATAGAATCTAAGTTTGCTTTAAAAATTATACAGAAACACATTTGGAACCTTCTTGCTACCCAGACCTCGTAAGTGACAAAAGAGCACAGGTACAAAAGACACATGAAAGCTTCATATCTTCTTCTAAGGCAGAATGGTAGCTCTACTTCTTTTCTTCTTTAATATCAGGGAGGTGGATAATGACTGGAGATTGATCCACCAGCACTCAAAAAGGGGGAATAAGAGAAAGCACATGCTGCCTGAAACCTATGAGCAAGTATGTCAGGACAAGTCTTAGAGAAAAGCAGAGTAGCTTGCCTTCTACGTGGTATGATTTGGAAGTCACCAGCAGTCACAAGATGTTTGAAAGCCTAATTAGATATTCAGTAGAGTTGATTGCAGCTTATTTTCAAATGCAAATAACCCTGGAAATACCATCAGTCATTCATACTTTAATACACGAAGGAGAGGAACCATTCTGTTTTCTTGCTAAGAGTTGGCAAAGATTATTTGAACTGATTAAATATGAGCTTGCAAAATATGGCAGGTAGCCCTGGACAAGCTTCCACAAGGGCTAACTTGGGAGGGTCTTGATGCCTTGGGAGAATAGAAGTGAACAAGCAAAGAGGCAGCAAAGGCAAATTTAGTCTACCTAAAATTTTGCTTAAAAATGGTTTTAAGAAAATCAAAAACTACTCTAAAAAGCCAACTCCTGTAACTTAAGGATGACCTAAAGAGTCATCCTCTTTAAAAACGATAACACAGGGACTTCCCTAGTGGCACAGTGGTTAAGAATCTGCCTGCCAATGCAGGGAACATGGGTTCGATCCCCACTCCAGGAAGATCCCACAGACCACAGAGCAACTAAGCCCGTGTACCACAACTACTGAGCATGCACTCTAGAGCCCGCAAGCCACAACTACTGAGCCCGCGTGCCACAACTACCGAGCCCGCGTGCCACAACTACCGAAGCCTAGGCACCTAGAGCCCGTGCTCCGCAACGAGAAGCTACCGCAATGAGAAGCCTGCGCACCACAACAAAGAGTAGCCCCACTCACAACTAGAGAAAGCCTGCGCACAGCAACGAAGACGCAATGCAGCCAAAAAATTAAAAAATAAAATAAAAACCGTAATACAGGACTGTGTCAGAGAAATGAAAAGTGCACAAAGCACTGAGCTGCATGTCATCAAAATATGATTTTCTGCCTATTTAATATGGAATATCAATACCTGATTTTAATCATCTTAGACTGCTGAAATATGGCTAATATATCCAACAAAAGCCAGAATACTTTCAGAAAGACATAATCGACTCTCTGAACTGACTGAACATTAAGAAATGTAGATACTTTTAGTTACTAAATTGAATGAATAAGAACCCACTTACGCTGATTACCGTATACATGACCCGACACAGTCAGTGCTGAGGGTTCATCCCTTTGAAGCTGCTCTAGTCTCTTCTCAACCATTTCTGTTAGATCCACAAAATTTTCATCAAATCCGAGTCTCTCAACAACTGGACTAAATTCTTCCAACAACTCTAAATTAAAATAACATTGGAGCACAGATGTAACTGAAGTTGTAACTAGAATAGATTTAACTCTTTTATGCTTAAAAAAATAACAAAATATGTTGTTAAAGGTTTTACATATATTCACAGTCCCATAATATCTTTAATAAAGTCCTCAGTTAACTGGGATTTTTTTTTCTGTACCACATTCTGAGTAAAGGCAATATTTTCCGACAAAATAAGTCCAAAAATAACATTTCCTGGGCAGATGCTCATAGCAATAAATTTCTCAATCTCCTATACCTATAATTTCTCTATCTGTAGTACATTAAACATCAATGCTTATAGTTAATTATGATCTTGAAGCAGTAGGTCAAAGAATAAATTATAGTCTGCTTAGAAAAGTAAAAACAAGTAATAATATATTCTAGCTATGTTTTTCATAAGAATTTTAAAACAGCAAAACAAAATAAAATTTAAAATGTCCAGTTAATACTAATCCAAAGAGAAAAGTTACTTAATTTTCAAAATATACTACAATGCAATACTTTTTGATTAGTCACCCTCCAGCACATTCCTTAAGGGCAGAGATGGCCCATGACTTACATGTATTTGAATGCCCAGCCTCTAACAGAATGCCTAGTCCATAACTCAAACGTTTACTAAATTGAGCTGAACCAGGATTTGAAATAAGTTCAAAAAGACTTATCAATTCTCATTTTTAGGATTAAAACTAATAATTTGAAATCATTAAGAAGAATTTTCACTTCTCTCTGAATCACCTATGATACCAGCTGGATGGCAGAAAACAATCTATTAGCCTCTTATTATATAAAAATGCATAGGTTCTTAAAGTCCTATAATATGAAAGCTCTGTTTTATTGATGCCAACACTGATAACAGCAGGAAAAAACAATTAATAAAGACAACAGTGTGATCTGGTAACCACCAAAAATCACTTTCAACCTACCTAGAGAAAACCATATATCTACTCTGAGGAAAAACTGACAATGTGTCTGACCATATAAAAGGATTCTTTTGAATTTCCCTCATCAATTTCTGCTTTTCCTCCCCAAAAGTATATACCTGATGTCCAGCAGTAACAGATAGAAAATAAAAGTTTATCAAAACAATACTATATAAAAAACAAAGAACAAGTTAAGTGCTAAGGAGAAAAGCAAATTAAGTACCGAATCATGCACAAAGCTGGTGGATCACTGAATATTGATTGATTATATTGGTTCTATTACTAGGTCATAGGAATAAATCACTTATCCATTCCTGAAGTTAACCTCTTTTTTGCTGTCAACTTGTCAACTCCATAAACAAGAGGCATTTATTAAACATATGATTACACAAGGCCAAAGAGAGGAGTTATAATTAGAGAAAAAACTATCTAGACAAAAATGTAATACTGTAGAATAAAAATATGAAATAAACAATAAGGTTATACATCATAAATAGGTCTGAAATAAATTCAGTATAGGACTATTAGGCTATGTTCCTATTTCAACTCAGATAATACCATGAAAAAAATTAACAAAATAACATTTTATTGATGCATAAATCATACTTAGAATATTTATTGTTATTATATTAGTGCATTTTTAATTCTTTCAAGATACTACTTTATAAGTTAAGAATCAGCATAAAAACTAAGATTTACTCATTGAATTTCCAGTAGATATTTTCACTGTGAAGAGTTGCAGTGGCACAGAAATCATAAGAGAAAGACTGATAAGTCTGACAACATAATGTCAGACAATACACAAACTGGAAAAGTAAAAAACATGAAACACAAATTGGAAATACATTTATAACACATGACCATCAAAGGGCTAATTTCCTTAACTTCCCCAAACAATGACACAAACCAATCAGAAAACAGAGGAGCAATCTAAATAAAAACGGGCCCAAGTGGAAAGGCCATTCACAGAAAACATATATAAATGACCAAAAATACATGAAAAAATGCTCACACTTACTTATAGAGAAATGCAAATCAAAACAATGATTTACTATTTTTTCTGCCTATAGGCAAAATCTTTATGAATATCTAATACTGTCATACATACTAGCAATATGTTGGGACAACCTCAAGTGCAACATATAGCAGTATTTCTAATGCAAATTATCTTTGATCTAGCAATTAAACTTTAGGAACTTACTTTAAGGATATCTTCATGAAAGTATGTGAAAATTTCTGTATGAAAATGTCTACTGAAGCATATATTTGTAAGAGCAAAAAGTTGGTAACAGAAATAATCCCTCACTATCAGGGAAGCCACATAATTTACAAGATATCTTTTGAACAAAAGGAGGTGCTATTAATAATTACATAGGGACAATGGGCATAAAGTGGGACATACTGTCTTCATATCAGTAAAGGAATGGTTAAATGTTTGGGACAAAATACAACAGAATACTGTGCAGGCACTAAAAAGAATGAGGAAGAGCTATATGAATGAGATGAAAGATCACCAAGAACAAAGGCAAGATGCACACTGTCTGTATTATATCACCTCTTCTATGTACAGTAAAAATTAACTTCTGAGTATTCAGATACACACACATAATTGTGCACATTGTCTATTCACACACAGACATATACACATATGTGGCGGAAGGGGTTTGGGTCATTGTTTTACACATGTGGAAAAACCTGATACTGGTTTTTGCATCTTGCCTTCTACTCACTCAACAAGGCACATCTCTATGAGTCAGACAGTACAGCACCAATTCATTCTTTTTAATAGCCATATAATATTCTATCATAGAGAAGTCTTAGTTTATTTAGCCATTCTCACCCTGGTGAGCAATTGTTTTCATTCCATATTTTTAGCAATTATGAACCATGCTACAAGAAACATTTTTGTACATACACATTATTTTAGTTCTATTAGATAAATCCCCAGCAGTGGTATTATTGGGTTAAAGAACATAATAGGTATCTTTAATTTCAAAACATGTTTCTAGATTGCTTTCTTGAAAAGGCTGTAATACTTTGTTTCTACTTTTTCTCACATTCTTATTTTTAGTACTAATGAATTTGAGCATTCTTTTTCCACATTGTTGAATTTGCTCTTTTTGTTAATTGCCTATTCATATCCTTTGTCCATTTTTCTTAAGTTTCTTTTTCTTGTTAATTCCTAAGAGCTCTTGGATATTATATTTAATGCTTTCATCTGAAAACTGCTACAAATAACCAAAGAACAAGTAAACAAAAACAATAGCAGGGCTTCCGTGGTGGCGCAGTGCTTGAGAGTCCGCCTGCCGATGCAGGGGACACGGGTTCGTGCCCCGGTCCGGGAAGATCCCACATGCCGCAGAGCGGCTGGGCCCGTGAGCCATGGCCACTGAGCCTGCGCGTCCGGAGCCTGTGCTCCGCAACGGGAGAGGCCACAACAGTGAGAGGCCCACGGACAGCAAAAAAAAAAAAAAAAAAAGAATTTACTAAAACAATAGCAAACAAGATAAATAAAAAGCTGATCCTTATACATTTTAAAACTGTATATATTTGCCATATGCCAGTACAACACATGGTTTCATTTTTCCTGTAATTTACTAAAACACTAAGATTCAAACCCAAACCTTAGTAAGGGGGAGTTTATCTACACTGAAATATTTAATATATACATAAAATCTAAGAAAAAAATATACTCCTTATCTTTGCTAATACTTCCTAACAAATTGGTTTTTAATTATGTTAATCAAACATTACAGAAGCCTCTCTCAACTCCCATTAGTGCATTAGAGTACAGCATATTTCTTCATAGTTTATTTAAACTTGGCATTTAAACTTATAATTAAAAATACCTGGTTCTTTTTGGTTTATCTTCTCCCATTTTCTCACTTAAAAATTTTTTTACATTTTCTCATATTTATGTAAACATCAGCGTGACAGAGTTCAAATTCGTTCCAACTATACATTTTTGTCACCGTTACTCATAATATATTAAGTCATTCTCATATAAATTTTTTTTACATGGGAAAGCCCCAAAATAAAAGGAAACTGACTTATGCATTTTACATTTATTAAAAGATTCATGTAGTTAACAGGCATCCTATATAAAAATTAATGCTGAAATTATATTGCCCATAATCTGTACCTGTAACGTACCTGTAACCTTATATGACACCTCTCTGTAACGAGTCAAATCTTCTCCATTAACTAACACTAGCTGTGGACACTTTTCTTTTGCATCTCTGACATTCATAAGTTTCTTAACTCCAAGTTCCCTAGCTTCATAGTTGCAGGTAACCACCAAAAATTTCTGCTGAACCCCTATAAGAAATAAATATTTTATGAGAAAAATATTTTATGAGGATTAAAAATAAAATTTAAAATATAATTTACTTATTCCATATTATAGGTGTAATACCATGTTTTGATAAGAATAAAAAGCTCTCAGTTAAAAAATACAGCCTCCATTCATCAAAGCTCTATGAAGTACAATTTAACAAAAATTAGCACAAACGAGCAATTCTATGAATTCTGCAAAAAGATACAAATAAAATCCTTCGAGGATTTTTTTCAAACAATACAAAACCAAAGAATTAACTCTATATAACTTTATATATAACTCTAGGCCATGTTTTACCAAAAAATAAAGCAGATGAAAATAACTGAGTACAATTAACTACCGGTTGCTGCTAGAAAACCTAACTTGTCTTCCGAGTAACTTTCCAATGAATATAAAGCAATGTTCTGTTACAAGTGCCAACCTACAGCAATTACTAGGGATCTCCCCCAATCAGTGTTCTAATTATTGAACTGTTCTTCATAGTAATCTTCAGAAAAGATTATAGAGAGTGAGGTGGCATTATGAGCCCCCTCCTTATCAAAATGATTAAGTTATGATCATCTACAGACTGTTTAAAAATTCTAGTTTTCCGGTAGCTTAAAATTGCTAAAATTATTTGCTTTTCTCTTTACACAAGTTGACTACTTGTTTACCACTATTAAAGTAACGTTCATCTAAAATATGTAAAACACAAATATGTAGATGGGGAAAAAAAGGTTATGTCCATTCCCCTAATGTAAGACATTTTGTTTCTAAAGTGTTGATACTATAAACAAGGCAAAGAAACATTATTTCGTATATTTTTGATATACCAGATTATGCCCAAAAATAGAAGCACTGGGTCAAAAGTAATAATTTATGATTCACCAGTGAACTATGTAAAAAATCAGATTAGTAACTTCCTTAACTAAAAAAGTAGTCTTTTAATGCAGGATTAATGGACTCACCATTATGTCACCAGCCCAAGTTAAGTAGTCATATATTTGCTTAGTACAAATGGAAGACTATGCTGCTTTCTCCTAGAAACTTTCAGCATTATATCCCTCACTTCCTGGTAATCATTCATTCCTGCATCTTAATTACACAATACCTTTTTACTAATCATTACTTACAGAACATCTTGTTACCATGCTACTAGTTAGAAATGCCTTCAGAAGAAAATTGAGGTCCCCTAATCCTAACTCCTTGACAGCCTTAATTTTAAAGATCCTAGACTGACCTTGGCATACCAAAAACTAGTCATCAGTCATCCCTCTGTTCCTTAGTAAATCAACTAGGCTGAGTTGAATTGGGTACTTATCAAAACCAAAATAGACAACAGAGGGAAGCGGCAGGTGAACCAAAATTGCTCTTTATGCTTTTACTAAAAGATAAATCCTTACTACATGCATAAAATAAATTTTTAGAAATTTAAATTACTTTCCCAATTTAAGATATAATAAAAAAAAGAAAGTTTTTTTAAAAAGCCAACATAATAGTAAGTAGATCCCCAATGTGAAATTTCTCTTTGCCTTTTAAAGATACTTATGATTTTATGGAAAATTTGTACTGTATGCCTTAACATTTTGGGTTCTGTTCAAAATCCAACTATTTTGTCGAATGTTACACAATTCAACAGTTAATTTCAAAAGTGAGAGACTAGATGACAACTTCCATTAAAATTAATAAAAGAGATTGTTCTTGAGATAAGATGGTTGTAAAATTTCAAACATTGAGAAAAAGACTAAAAGTTTATCATGGTCTCTCTGATCATCCATTTGGTGAACTATACTACTTGTGTCACATTCACCATTTATTAAACGATTATAAAGTTTACACCTGTAGTGAAGCAAAGATTACTGTCTATAAAGCGTCACAGAACTGCTTCCAACATTTATTAATATGGTTAATAAATCATAATATAATAAATAACGAATCCTATTACACAAAGAAAATAGTATCAAACTCCAGAATTACCTAAAGGTTTGCCCTTTAGTTCTGGATGTGAGATCATTTCTACTTGTGCGTAAAAGCAATCCAGATCCACGTGTACTATGACTCTAGATGAAGAGCTTCCTGCTGGCACCACTTGATCATGGACTGTGGCACAATATGCAAAGAAACATAAAAATACATTCAGACAGCTTATCGCCTCTGAGCAACTGCCAGCCCCTTAAAACATGGCAACTGAGAAAGAAGAATGCAGAGCGATTTTTAAAGTTTTTTTCCTGGATTTATCACATGTGTCAAAGCATCTAAAAATTACAAAGACATGAGAGAAACTCCACCCACAGTGGAGTCTTCAGTCCTGTTTATTTACTATTTCTTTGTATACTATATTTTTCTCAGGATAGTAATAAATTTAAGGAAAAAAATTATCAATAATGGAAGATTGCAAGAGGTAATCCTAGGACTTGGAAGTTTATGGGAAAATTTAGAGAAAGTTGCAAGGGGCAGAAAAGTTTAAACACTGATCTTTCAACCAACTTAAAAAGTATTCTAAGTGGCATGTCCTTAAATTAAAAAAATAATCTGAAATACAAAGCAGCACAAGACAGAACCTATGGGTCCCGATGGACTACATCTAGCTCCCATATGATATCAAGATTAGCTGGTTCAATGCTGAATACCCAATACCTAAAACAGAGACTGGCATGTAATAGACTACCAATGAATACTTGCTAAATTGCAAGACAGAGTAAATATTTCCTGGATTTTAAAAGTGGTTCATGTCTTGAGGGAAGGGGTAGAGGGATAAGACAGAGGAGACTACAGCTCTTAACACCAGTTAAAAACAAGGCAGGCTAAATGCAATGTGGTTTTCTGGTTTGGAGCCCGGAACAGAAAAAAATTAAGTGGAAAAAAAATGGTAAAATCTGAATAAAGCTTGTCCTTTCATTAATAGTATGCCAATGTTACTTTCTTAGTTTTGACAAATGTATCACGGTGATGTAAGATATTAAAGTTAGGAAAAGCTATCTGTTCATCTCTCTGTAATTCTAAAATTATTATAAAATTTAAGTTTTTTAAAAAGGGGGCGGGGGTCTAGGAGGCAGGGAAGGAGAGCCTTGGCCCCAGGCCCGAGGATTGGCGCGCTGCAAAGTAGGGTCCAGAGGCTGGAAGTGGGTCACCGAAGAGGCTGCCACTGCAGACGTGCCTCGTCCCCGGTTCCGAGCTGCGCCGTCCCTTCCCGTCTGGGCTGAGCCGGGGCCCCAACCTTTGCCAAACGGGCGACAAGTTTCCCCGCTACTGCAACCTTTAGGCGGCCGGGGACTCTTCCGCTTTCACTGGGCTGTTTCAGGGATTACAAATGCAACCTCGATTAACCAACTGACGCGCCCACCCTACTCCTACTGGTCAAAAAATCCCTCTCGGGATCTTGGCCTCAAAACACCGGGCAGCGAAGGGCAGCTCTCTCAGCGGAGCCCGGAAAACGAAAGGACCCGAGCCGGGCGGGACGGTCGCACCCCAACGGCCGCCGCCACTGCCCCGGGAGTCCTCCCGCCCCGCGCTGCTCATTTACACCAAGGGAGGCCGCCGGGCTCCTCAGGCCCCAGCGCACCCGGCGAGCTGCCTGCTGCCCACGTCTCGGCCCGCTCCATGGCCAGAGCCGCGTCCTCCTCCTCGTCGCGGTCGCCTTCTTCCTCAGGCTCCACCCCCTGCTTCTGCGTCCCGCCCCAGCGGCCAACCGCAGGGCAGCTTCCGACCGCTTCCGCCCGGTCTCCAGGGAAGCCGCTCCGGGCTGGCGCCTGCGCGGTCTGCGCCGACCCGCGGGCTGCTCCGAAGGACTCGCCGGCTGGGAATCCTCCAGACCAGCGTGCGGGGGTTCCCTCTCGCCCAGCAGTGAATGAGAGATTGCCTTACCAAACAGCTCATTTTTTTCTTAAGGTCTTCGGAGTGAGTCCCACACCACAAATTTTAACTGTTTATCTTTACTAAGAAGCCAGCCTGTTCTCCTGATAACTGTTAGCAGAATTGCTAACCCTTAGCCGCTGAATGATTTATGCTGATGGAGTTGGGGGAAAGGATGGAAATTATGGTGACAGCAAGGCGACCATGTAAACTAATATGATTAGCAAGTATGTTAAAGTTTGCGTTTTGTTTGTTTGGTGTTTGATTCAAAGATACTGTGACAGATTGGACCCCTGAATTTTTAATCATTTAAACTGAATAGGATTTTGATACATGAGCTTTGGAGTCGGGTAAAATTCTCAATCCAGACCCTCCAACTTGCTAACTGTGACTTTGGGCAGGTTAAATAACTGCTCTGAACCTGTTTCTGCACTGTTTAAAAAAAAAAAAAAAAAAAGGTCTTGAGTGTATTGGGATTAAATGAACGAATGAAAACTAACATACGCTTAAATATTCCAATGAATATAAAACACCTGGGACATGGAAGGTTAGAAGGTGCTCAAAAAATGTTCATTCTCTTTGCTTTCTGTTAAGATGCCTTTTGTGCCTGTGTGTGTTTCTTCCAACAGAAAATTTGGAAATTTCTGTGCATGTGTGTGTGAATGAATATATATATATATATATATATATTCACACAATTATTTTGATTTTTTTTACAGGATTCTTTCATAAATAGGTTGTGAAAACTTTGAGAAACCCATTAAAGGACATGCTGATGCATCCATAAAGAAGGAATAACAGGCAGAGCTGGGGCTCGGTGGTTTGGAGACCAGGTCTTCCTCTTTGGGTATCTTACTCTTAGACATCTGGACCAGTTCCTTCAAACTCTCCAGTATGGGATCTAAGACACCAATTTAAAGCTATCCTGCTTTCTTTGTGATTGCTATTTGCTAAGTCTAGATAAAGTACTTTTGAATTAAGTGCCTCTTTGGCTATCATCAAGGGTCCAATTACTTGTAGACAACTAAGGTATTTTGTTTCAATTCCTCCATGTTGAGAATGATACAAACCAGGGAAATACCATGGCAGATTAAAACAGTTCCTTTATAAGAGCCCTAGGGTCACTAACACTCAACAGCTTGACTAAAAGTGAACCAGCATTGAAAAACAACACACATAAGCCCTCTTTAATTGAATTTATTTCCCTGTCAATTGTCAAACTGAAGAGTGACTTTAAATTTAGTAGAATAGACAAATGGAACCTTGCAACCATAGGGGAGCGAGCCAGGCTGGCTTTGTAGCTCTGCACTTAGAAGGGCCCCTCAGTTGATTTAATGTTCTCCTGTTGCTGTCTTGAAATTCTTAATAATTTTTGAACAAGGGAGCCCTCATTTCCATGTTGCATTGGACCTCACAAATTATTAGCCAGTGCTGGGAACAGAGGAGGGAAGTGGCATAGAAAAGAACACTTACAAAACACCTGTATGTCAGGCACAGCCCTAAGAGCTTAAAACAGATTATGTCATTCAATATGCCTTAGAGGGTAGGTATCATCATTCTTATTTTACCAAAGATGAAACAGGCCAGCAGAGACTAAGACGCTTACTCAAGATTATGAATCTATTAATGGTAAATCTACTTTCCAGAGTTTTCCATAGAGAAGAATTCATTAAGAATGTTTCTCCCACAAGAAAAGGGAACCCTCCTACACTATTGGTGGGAATGTAAATTGATACAGCCACTATGGAGAACAATATGGAGGTTCCTTAAAAAACTAAAAATAGAACTACCATACGACCCAGCAATCCAACTACTGGGCATATGCCCTGAGAAAACCGTAACTCAAAAAGAGTCATGTACCACAATGTTCATTGCAGCACTATTTACAATAGCCAGGACATGGAAACAACCTAAGTGTCCATCAACAGATGAATGGATAAAGAAGATGTGGCACATATATATAATGGAATATTAGCCATAAAAAGAAACAAAATTAAATTATTTGTAGTGAGGTGGATGCACCTAGAATCTATCACACAGAGTGAAGTAAGTCAGAAAGAGAAAAACAAATACCGTATGCTAACACATATATATATGGAATCTAAAAAAAAAAAAAGGTTCTGAAGACCCTAGGGGCAAGACAGGAATAAAGACAGAGACATAGAGAATGGACTTAAGGACACGGGGAGGGGGAAGGGTAAGCTGGGAGGAAGTGAGAGAGTGGCATAGACATATATACACTACCAAATGTAAAATAGATAGCTAGTAGGAAGCAGCCGCATAGCACAGGGAGATCAGCTCGGTGCTTTGTGACCACCTAGAGGGGTGGGATAGGGAGGGCGGGAGGGAGACGCAAGAGGGAGGGGATGTGGGGATATAAGTATACATATAGCTGATTCACTTTGTTATACAGCAATTAAAAGCAATTATACTCCAATAAAGATGTTTAAAAAAAAAAAGAATGTTTCTTCCACAGAGGAAACCACTCCCTCTGCCCATTTTCCTTGGAGCTTCCTTGCCCCGTTTGTATTCTCTCTCTTCCAACCCTACCCAACTTGCCATCTTCAGGTAGACGTTGTAGTTTGCATTTTCTAGAATTTCATATAAAGGGAATCCTACAGTTACTCTTGTATGGCTGTTTCCACTAAGTGCGTAAATATGTTTTTAGTGTTATTCATGTATGTGCAAAAGCGGCATCAAGTAAGAATAAGCAAGGCCCTGTTATGTATTAGAGCTGCATTGTTTATAAGCAAAGGGGCTTTTTATGTACTGACAATCACTGAGAAAGAGTTGTTTAAAGTGAGAAGTGAAGTTGCAACTAAGTAAATTCAAATTCAGTTTCATATCAATTCATTATCAGTAAAAGAATTTTGAATCATCTGCCTCATTAAAAAAAAATCACGACAACTTGGATATATTCGGAGGCATAAAAATAAAATTTATTTGAGCTAATATGTGTTGCTTTGTAGTGGGATGAATTAGGGAAAGTGGTTTTTTTTTAATCTATAAATCCCATCCCTCAGTTTTAATTAATTGGCTCTAAATCTAGGATAATTTCAGGAAATAAATATTTTGAGCCTGGATCATAACTGCGTACTTAAGTGCCAAATGAGAAGAACAATTGCAAGGCAGAATAAACATTTAATTAAAGGAAATTAGGTTGAAACAATATTCATGGGGGAGCATGGGTTTGCAGTGTAGGTAATGGATAAAGAAACTAGGGGCATTCATGAGCTTCAGAAGTCAAGACATTATGAACTTACATACCTGAAAAGTGACAAACAGGACTTCCCTGGTGGTGCAGTGGTTAAGAATCCACCTGCCAATGCAGGGGACATGGGTTCGAGCCCTGGTCTGGGAAGATCCCACATGCCACGGAGCAACTAAGCCCGTGCGCCACAACTACTGAGCCTGCATTCTAGAGCCCACGAGCCACAACTACTGAGCCTGTGTGCCACAACTACCAAAGCCCGCATGCCTAGAGCCTGTGCTCCCCAACAAGAGAAGCCACCGTGATGAGAAGCCCGTGCACTGCAACTAAGAGTAGTCCCTGCTCACCACAACTAGAGAAAGCCCGCCCTCAGCAACGAAGACCCAACACAGCCAAAAAAAAAAAAAAAGTGACAAGCATGACCGGCCATGTCAGGGAAGGCTGGGAAAGTTACCAGCGTCTGCTTATCTCCTCCTAGACAAATTGGCCACATATTATTCAGCAGGAGAACTCTAGATGGTGTTCTTCAAGGGCTTTGAGATGAAGAGTGTGAGGGCGTTTATGAGTATCTGTATTTTATGTTGGTGGTGGCTAGGTAAATAGAGGTTGGCCATGGGGTCAAAGGAACAATTTGTATTGGTGAGAACAGAGGGCCTGTTGTAGTCTTTCTGTAGTCTTTGATCTAGTACAGTGGTTCTCAGTTGCAGACGACGATTTTGTCCCCTAGAAGATATTTGGCAATATTTTGGAGACACTCTTGGTGTTCACATCTGGGGAGTTGCAGCTCTGATTACTGGCATCTATTGCGTAGAGGCCAGGGATATTGTTGAACATGCTACAATACACAGGACAGCCCTTTACAATAAAGAATTATCAGTCTAAAGTGTCAGTTGGGCCAAGCTTGGGGAACTCTGGCCTAGTAGTGTTTGTATCATCCTGCTGCCAACTCCCTCCTCAGCTTATGGTCCCCAGCTGTAAACTACTAATGTAGAATTGGTCTTTGGTTATGTGCTTTTAATTATGAATAGGACAGTTTTAGAGAAGGGAAGATATAAGAGAGGGAGACCAGTATTATTTAGTTGCTTTTCACCATGGGGATTTACATTCTGAGGCTAAAATGCAAATGAATTCATTGGCTGGAAAAGAGATTTCAAAAAAATATTCACACTTTTATGAAGCTTGTGAGTTGCCCCCAGGGTGAAAGGCTAATGAGTCAGAAATAATTTACACGGCTTAGAAGCTGAAACCAGAAAGCACGAAAGGCTTCAGGTGGTTGAAAGCAAAGTAGAGTTATTTTACGCAGTTGTACAATGTGCATGTTGTGCAGTATTTACTAAATAACACTCATCCAAGGATCTCACACCCTTTGCATAAAATTTTCAATTGTCATGAAAAAACCCTCTTCTCTCTCTCTTTTTTTTTTTTTTGCACATTGCACACCAAAGCTTCAGTTTCAAGCTTTCTCAGTGTAACCTAAAAATATTTGCTGCATACCATGTGACTGTGGCTAAGAGAAGGTGTAAGAGGCTGGAGTTTTTCTAACAGTCAGCTTCTCTTTGCTTTGACCTTTCTTTGTGGTTCTCTAGAATTCGATGAAAGGCCTGCATAGTCATTTTAGTAATGACCTTTAAAAAGTTGCTTGTCAGGGTGTGCTCAATAGATATTGCCTTGTCATTTTGGATAGAGGGAGAGGTAGGGACCAATGTGATCACGATAAAAGTCATTTGGTCCCAGTTTGTAAACAAGATCTGCAAACTTCCGTCTTTGAGAAAAAGAGAACTACTTGATGCCATGTAGAAAGTGCAAGCAGATTGACATTGATCAGATACACTGTTACATTTATAGACACCTAACTTTAATGAAACATTTTTTTTAATTGCAAAAGTGATTTGTGATTATTATGGAGAATTTGGAAAATATAAAAAGGAGGTAAAAAGAAAATGGTAGTCATCCATAATAATCCATAATCTGGTGCTCAGAGATAACCAAGCATTAATAGTCTTTTCATAAAGCACAACTTAAAAAGAAAGCTTTAGTTTTATTTCACAAATAAACTTCTGTTTCTCTTTCTTGACTAAACCACAGAAACCATTGCCTAAATAAATGACATAGGAAAATCTTTGTACACTTATTTGTTTTTGATGTTACTTGAAGGAAATGAATAAATATGTTTTCAACATCATTTTGGAAATACTAATAATTTCAACTTAATTAATAATATTCTCCATTTTCCTGGTTTGAGTATAATCCATAATCTTTATAAAGGAAAATTATATTTATAGGACTTATTTCTTAAAGCTGATTCAAAGACTTCATTAAAGTACCTATTAATCCTAAAAGTACTGCTTGTGTCTCTGGTTTAAAAAAATTATTTTCCCCTTTCCCCTCCAAGAGTGTCTGGATCAGGGATGTGACTTGGTGAGAAGAGGGAAGAAGAAAAACTGAGTTTCTAAACAACCGCCTCTCCTGGGTTATTGAAATGGCTGCAGAGCAGACACAGGATGATGTTGAACCTTCGGTCTCATTTGTGAAAACTTGTGCAATTTTTTTTTTCCGTGCTACACTACATACAAATCACCAAATTACAAATTAACCCTTTGTGATCCTTGGTGTAATGAGCAGTTTCTTTGGGGCTTTTTCTTTCTTTCCGGGAAGTGGGAGGGAAAGGAGCAAGGTATTACCTTGCTCTTCCTTTGTATTTTGGTCCCAAAATGTAAATACAATTTTCTATGTTACTTTTTTGTGGTAACTACCAAGATGAATAT